AGTAATTCAATTGCAGACAGAGATAGAGACGGACAATAATAAAGAATCGTATTTGATTATTTTCATTAATAAATACATAATAAAGAATCGTATTTGATTATTTTCATTAATAAATACATAATAAAGAATCGTATTTGATTGTGTGTTTTTCTCTATCCTGACACCTCATGGTACTTATGATTTAAACCTAATATTACGTTTATCTTCATTAATGTTTCACAGCTAAGAGAGAACATTGAGATTATTAATATTCTAAGACTATCAAGTTTAGTATACAAATTCACTCTTATTTTCGGATCATCAGTATACTCCACCGAGTTCCATTCAGAAAATACATATTAATATAATTAATTATTATTTGTACTTAATTTAGTGACTTATCTGACAAAATATGACAAAATGACACGTCCGAGGTTTATACTGATTGCCTCAAATTAAGTTGATGACTCTATAACAGTACCAAAGATTTAATACTCTTTCAGGACGAACATTATTCTTTGTTGATGTAATTATCCATTAATTCTCAATTCCATAAATGATTTACAAGCGGAACTAGTTAAGGATGATAATTACTCTATTAAATCGCTTCACTGTTGAACCATTATTTATGAGTGAAAAGCGACAACAAGGGGAGAACTCGTTCTTATATCGTTTACATTAATTTGACTAGCTTAAAAACTTCAATTTAAACAGATAATGAGGGCTAATTGTATTTTACAATAATAAAACCCTTGAAACAATTTCTTCGCTTTTCAGTAGTGCTGAGCCTAACGATCATGATTACATACTATGGCCCCACACTGCAATTTGTAGTACTGAGAAATAATTGCATTTTCAACAACAAAACCCTTGATACAATATCTTCGCTTTTCAGTAGTACTAAGCCTAACGATCATGAATGCATACTATGGTCCCACACTACAATTTGTAGTAATGAGAGATAATTGTATTTTACAATAACAAAACCCTTGAAACAATTTTTATTCGCTTTTCAGTAGTGCTAAGCCTAACTATCATGATAACATACTATGGTCCCAAACTGCAATTTGTAGTAATGAGAGATAATTGTATTTTACAATAAATTAACCCTTCACCCGAAACAGTATCTTCACCAGCTTCAAATCCTTCTTGTTAATGGTACCACATTGGTGTTTTACGAGTTGGATTTCTCATCGTAACCATATTCTTCCTTTGGAGGATGATGGTGTTACTCCCTATCAATTTGGAGTTCGGTTCGAAGTGCGCTTTGGAGTGTGATTGTCGTACTAAATACAATGTTTGATTTTTTTTATTCTAGAGAATACTGAAGGGATGTTTTCTTGGAATTTCGTGTCCGTTGCTTTGCTTAACGATCTCCCAATTAACGATCTCTGAATTGAGTGTGGCATATTGGTCAATCCATAGAATTAACCTGCACTGTCAAACGGCCCGGAATTATCACACAGTAAAGAAATAAAACGCTCTGCACAAAGAATGTCGTTTTATTAAATAAACATTAAATAGACGGTGTAAGGTTACCACCAATATTTAATGGATTTGCCCTTTGCAATATATGAAGCAGTAAAATACACATGGTATTCACAATATCTGAAATATAGGATTGTAACCCATTCTTGATGAAAAAAACAAACCAAAAAACCTGGGTATTAATTGTATAAATCTGGATTTGACGGAAATACACTAATATGCCAAAAGTCAAAAGGGAATAATGTCATCAGTGATGTCAACTGTTGATGACGTATTATATTGGTTAAAGTAAGGAGTGGCTTCCATTTAGTTACTCTGCCATTATAAATAATTACTTATGGTATCGGAACACACTTCCAGCTGCCATGCAACTGTATCGTTTGATGTGATTATTCCACACACTTCACATCAAGAAGAATCTACTCTGTTAGTTTTGTCACCCGTTCTGTCTTAAACGTGACTTGTTTGTTCTGTTGGTTTTGTTACCTGTTCTGCCTAAAACGTGACTTGTTTGTCCTGTTGGTTTTATCATCGTTCTGTCTAAAATCTGACTTGTTTGTTCTGTTGGTTTTATCACTCGTTCCGTCTAAAACGTGACTTGTTTTTCTGTTGGTTTTGTCACTCGTTCTGTCTAAAACCTGACTTGTTTGTTCTGTTGGTTTTGTCACTCGTTCTGTCTAAAATCTGACTTGTTTGTTATGTTGGTTTTATCATTCGTTCCGTCTAAAACGTGACTTGTTTTGCTGTTGGTTTTGTCACTCGTTCTGTCTAAAACCTGACTTGTTTGTTCTGTTGGTTTTGTCACTCGTTCTGTCTAAAACCTCACTTGTTTGTTCTGTTGGTTTAGTCACTTGTTCTGTCTAAAATCTGACTTGTTTGTTCTGTTGATTTTATCACTCGTTCTGTCTAAAATCTGACTTGTTTGTTCTGTTGGTTTAGCCACTCGTTCTGTCTAAAATCTGACTTGTTTGTTCTGTTGGTTTTATCACTCGTTCCGTCTAAAACGTGACTTGTTTGTTCTGTTGGTTTTGTCACTCGTTCCGTCTAAAACGTGACTTGTTTGTTCTGTTGGTTTTGTCACTCGTTCTGTCTAAAACCTCACTTGTTTGTTTTGTTGGTTTAGTCACTCGTTCTGTCTAAAACCTGACTTGTTTGTTCTGTTGATTTTATCACTCGTTCTGTCTGAAATCTGACTTGTTTATTCTGTTGGTTTAGTCACTCGTTCTGTCTAAAACGTGAATTGTTTTTCTGTTGGTTTTGTCACTCGTTCTGTCTAAAACCTGACTTGTTTGTTCTGTTGGATTTATCACTCGTTCTGCCTAAAACGTGATTTGTTTGTCCTGTTGGTTTTGTCACTCGTTCTATCTAAAACGTGACTTGTTTGTTCTGTTGGTTTAGTCACTCGTTCTGTCTAGAACCTGACTTGTTTGTTCTGTTGGATTTATCACTCGTTCTGCCTAAAACGTGATTTGTTTGTCCTGTTGGTTTTGTCACTCGTTGTGTCTAAACGTGACTTGTTTGATCTGTTGGTTTTATCACTCGTTCTATCTAAAACGTGACTTGTTTGTTCTGTTGGATTTATCACTCGTTCTGCCTAAAACGTGATTTGTTTGTCCTTTTGGTTTTATCACTCGTTCTGTCTAAACGTGATTTGTTTGTCCTGTTGGTTTTGTCACTCGTTCTGTCTAAACTTGACTTGTTTGTTCTGTTGGATTTATCATTCGTTCCGTCTAAAACGTGACGAGACGGAATTGCTTTATTCGATAGCAATATTTTTAATGATCTGGAAATTAATCACCGTCCCAACTATGTGGCCTCGTGAAATTAAGATTAATTTCTGGGATTTGAGTCATGGCTTTTGGTATTTTGTAATCTTTGTCTTTATGTGACGTTACGGAGGTGCTCGACGCGTATTCTGAGGATTTCTATATACTTATTTGTACGGGCTTTTTGTAGGTGCTAGGCATTAGGACCGTGGCGCCACCGTTCGGACCTGCTTGTATAACTGGGTCTTATAAAGCGCTATGAACTGTCGTTCGTAGGTAACGATTGTGAGAGGAAGGGTTTTACAAATACGACTTATTAATCTCATTGAAGGTATGGTATCGTAACTACCCCTATTAGCCTGTCAACATGAAAATGGTTATTAATCTCATTGAAGGAATAGTGTCGTAACTACCTCTATTAGCCTGTCAACATGAAAATGGTTATTAATCTCATTGAAGAAATAGTGTCGTAACTACCGCTACTAGTCTGTCAACATGAAAATGGTTATTAATCTCATTGAAGGGATAGTGTCGTAACTACCCCTACTAGCCTGTCAATACGAAAATGGTTATAAATGTCATTGAAGGGATAGTGTCGTAACTACACCTATTAGCCTGTCAACATGAAAATGATTATTAATGTCATTGAAGGGATAGTGTCGTAACTACCCCTACTAGCCTGTCAATACGAAAATGGTTATTAATCTCATTGAAGGGATAGTGTCGTAACTATCCCTACTACCCTGTCAACATGAAAATGGTTATTAACGTCATTGAACCATTTTCATGTTGACAGGCTAATAGAGGTAGTTACGACACTATCCCTTCAATGAGATTAATAACCATTTTCATGTTGACAGGCTAATAGAGGTAGTTACGACACTATCCCTTATTAATCTCATTGAGGGGATAGTGTCGTAACTACCCCTATTAGCCTGTCAACATGAAAATGGTTATTAATGTCATTGAAAGGATAGTGTCGTAACTACCCCTATTAGCCTGTCAATATGAAAATGGTTATTAATCTCATTGAAGGGATATTGTCGTGATTACCCCTACTAGCCTGTCAACATGAAAATTAATACTAAGGAGTTTGTTTTTGAGCAAAGCCACATTTGGCTATCTGTCCAACGCGGAAAATCGATTCCTTGATTTTAGGGTTGTAATTCTATAAACTTACTATTGTTACGTCTCCGTTGGTTAATTAACTTTATATCTAGTAAATGCTAGAGCATTCCCGAAGGAACGGGATAGTTCTAGAAACGTGGCGTGACACTAGTCACGTGACCTCGCTGACGCAACACTATTTTTCCTACATTGTAGGGGGAGAAATTGTAACGATTGAAACATATTTTGAGGTATTTTTAAACTTTTCATTAGCTATTGTTTCGTTCAACTTGTCTGGGATTTTAAACTTAGGGTTTGTGATTCGCTATAAACTGCCAGATTACCAAACCTCCCGTAGCCTAGGCAACACACATGATCTAATCTTTCCTCGTTACAAGATACGGAGGTTAAAAGCTGTTCAATTAAGACATCTCGTGATTTAATAGGTTGAGGCTATATTCTGTATAGTTAAGAAAAACGCACGTGAAGAAATATGAATTTTTAATTAATGAACGAATCGTGTGAAAGTGGCCATAAAATCGATCTTATAAACACGTGCCCTGGTTGTTTTCCATTCACGATACTTTAAATTAAGTAACATGTAGTGAGGGTATAGAAATATACGTTTAAAGTAACGACTTGAGATATAACTATCAAAACACAAGCTCTTTTTAAGACTGATCAAGTTACAAAAAGTTTCCAACCTTCTTAAACCCATCCTGAGAAAGGAAAAGCAGATCCAAATGGAACTCTGAGCGGTAACCTTGTTGATCAAACTTCACCTCTCCTGTTAAGCCTTGTATTTTTATCTGAAAATAAAATCTCATCGAATTTTAAGAAAATATAAAGAGTTCAAGTCACTTACTAGACTTTAATGCGAATATTTGTTCTTCCTAACTGATAGTTATACTGGGTGGATTAATATTTTAACTGAGTCCTACATGAGATGTAAAGTTCAAACCTTCTTAAATGCTTAAGTGTAGAACGTAAGCCTAAAAATTAGACTTAAGTTTTTCACTAAACTGATTATGAGAGGAGAACATAGAACATAGTTCGATGTTTGATGAACGATTTTTATTTCTTTACAAAGTTTTAAGTTTCCGTTTAGGACTAGCTTCAGTGACCGATGACTTGGATCCAATATGTGTGTGTCAATATCATAAAGAGCTAGTTAGGCTTAGAAATAATTTAAACACTAAAAATATTAATAGTGTTATTTATTTAGTAAACCAAAGCTAGGCTCACGAGATTTCATACTCATAGAAAGGAGTAGTTTTAGAAAAAAAAATTACTGAAATATATTAATGAAATAAGGTGGTTAGGGCTATTTAGAAAGCAAAACTTTGGGCACATTAGATATGTGAAGACTTGGGGTAATTCGTTAGAAAACAAAAGACATAGAATTGAGTTTCTTCAAGTATTTCTTCTTGGTAAAAGTTTATCTTTTTAAAGCGACACTTCAGGTAACAGAAAGGTATGAAGGTTTATTATCCATATATATGGAATCTTTATAATGAGTTAACTTATTTCTCACGATAAAGTCTTAGACAAAAGTAAACCCTGGACCAATACCAGTTTCATGAGGTTCCGGATACTTGTGCCAATAGCGTCTTCAGAAGGTTCTCCAGACTCACAGAATATTGGGGGGAACACGACTGTCTTGCTGGTATCAAAGTCAGCAAGAGCTTTGGCAAATAATTTCACTGCGTCGTAAATCAGTGCAGTCTGAGTCTGAAAGAAAAACAAAACGTGAAATTAAACAAAAATATCTGTAAACAAACACACACACAAGGTCTGGAAATACCATAGGTGTGAAATGAAAACAAAAACATTTGTAAACAAACACACAACGTCACGAAATACCACATATGTGTGAAATGAAAACAAAAATATCTGTAAACAAATACACACACACAAGGTCTGGAAATACTATAGGTGTGAAATGAAAACAAAATATCAGTAAACAAACACACACAAGGTCTGGAAATACCATAGGTGTAAAATGAAAACAAAAACATTTGTAAACAAACACACACACACAAGGTCTGGAAATACCATAGGTGTGAAATGAAAACAAAAACATTTGTAAACAAACACACACAACATCACGAAATACCATATATGTGAAACGAAAATAAAAACATCTGTAAATAAATACATACAACGCCTGAAAATAGCATACTTATGAAATGAAAATAAAAATATATGTAAAAATATATACGAGAATAAGTAATAGCATTCATGTAACAAAAATATCTGTAAATAAAAATACATAAGAACAGGTAATAGCATACATGTAACATGAAAACAAAAACATCTGTAAACAAACACAAATATATCTCGCCATATATCAACGTATTGACTTGTTTTATTATTATAATATATCTCACCATATATCAACATATTGACTTGTTTTATTATTATAATATATCTCACCATATATCAACGTATTGACTTACTTTATTATTATAATATATCTCACCATATATCAACATACTGACTTACTTTATTATTATAATATATCTCGCCATATATCAACATATTGACTTACTTTATTTTTATAATATATCTCACCATATATCAACATATTGACTTGATTTATTATTATAATATATCTCACCATATATCAACGTATTGACTTACTTTATTATTATAATATATCTCACCATATATCATCGTATTGACTTACTTTATTATTATTATAATATATCTCGCCATATATCAACATATTCACTTACTTTATTATTATTATAATATATCTCGGTATATGTCAACATATTGACTTGTTTTATTATTATTATTATAATATATCTCGCCATATATAAAAATATTCACTTTCATTATTATTATTATATATCTCGCCAAAGATCAACATATTGACTTGCTTTATTATTTATAATATATCTCACCATATATCAACGTATTGACTTGTTGGTCCTTCGTCTCTATTTAATACTTGTTTTTTATATTTCATTATTTCTAATGTTTCTGTAATATTTAATTATGTAAAACTTCGAGGCTGAACTAAAACTAAAGTTTTTTTTCCCCATAATATTGTGTGTTAGGTAATTTTTACATGTTCGGCAATAGCTGAAATTTCTATTTTATTATTTTTTATGTAACTTTAGTGTTCTTGCAATCTTTTAGTTTGATCAATATAAACAATACCACATTTACATTCTATCTTTTAAATACCTGTTTTATATGTTAATTCTATTTTATCTTTAGTATTCTCTATTATGTCTTTTACCTTATTCATTGGTATGAAGATAGGATAAAAATTCTGAAGCTTTTTAAGTACTTTATATAATTGACTTGTTAAACCTGGAACGTAAGGTAAATTTTCTTTTTTGTTATTTTCATAAATACATCTTAGTGTGGTAATTTTAACTGTGTTTACACCTTTGTTAAACTTCTTAAATGCTTTGTCTACTATATTTGGTTCAAATCCTCTATCAATAGCTACATACTTAATTAATAACAATTCGTTATTTAAATATTCCTATCTTAAACATATTTTAAAGCTATAAACATATGTATAAAATGTTGATATTTAGGGTTTTTTTATATGACATGATTCTTTGTGTGGCGGCATAACAACAACAAAAGGTTTTCTATAAACTGATGTTTCTAAGTTACCTTCTGCTTCTTTCCTAACTAATA